ACACACAATGCTTTTTTCCTTTGCTTTCATTTAAAAAAAAATCTTAAAAGAAAAAACTCCCAGGTACTGTTTGTAATGGCTAACATACTGATATAATATTCCCAATAGTGACAGAGATCAGAGATTGGATAACACACTTCTGAGCGAGATATCAAACTCACCAATCAAAGGAGACTGCTTGGGGCAGTAGGGCATGTCCTCTTTATTAAGAGCAGGGCCCAAAAGGGAGAGGTTGGCATAAACATCCGTGTGGTTGCGTCCACCGATTGTGTGTCCCGATGTAGAATCCGTCTTACGGAAAATACGGAAAAAATATGACACTCTTTTCTGGTAGCCCTCTCTAGAGAGAAGAGCCATGACCACTAACTGGACGCCCAAGAACATGATTAGGTAGCGCCATTTGGACTGCAGCGTGTACATGGTGATGGAGCTGTTCAGTGGAAGCAGTGTACCACGTTTGAGAGTCAGATGAACAGTCTTGGTGTGTTTAGGTTGGATAAGTTTGAGGTACTGGACTCTACGATGGTCTCATTCCTCTTATCTCAGATACTTTAAAGTTTTACTTGCATGCAAAGAGAAGAAAAATGAAACATATGGAAGGCTGGATATGTAAACAAATCAATTGTTTCAAGGATTGGCAGATGGATCAGATATGTGGAGATGTAAAAAGTTTGATGAAACACAAGGCACTTCAGATATGATGGATGAAAAGGCTAAGGAGAGGTATCATTTATTCTAACAGACGTTCAAGACTGCTGCATGTTGAATTAGATTTACTTTTCTCACTGGTAGTCTTTCAGCCTATTAATATGCAACTCCAAATGGAAACTCCCAGTGGTCCTCTGGCGTTTTCATGATTCAATGGTCTACTGAGCTTCCATCAAGCTCCACCAAAGCCGTGGGATTTGGAAGGATGTGTCCACTGGCTGAAAGGAAACAGGTTTTATTCCCAGAAGGTTCTCAACAGCAACGGTCCTCTAAAAGTCTCATGGTCACTACAAAGTAAAGAGTGGGAGCCACAGAAGTCCAAGGTATTGTTTTGTAGTGTGTTGGTGTGAGATAGTGAGTATGGATATGGTTCTTGGATATGTAGGAGGGGAAAACAAAGAGGAGGTGGGAGGGATGATATCCAACACCCCCAGCTATTGTCTCATTCTGTCCTCGTGCAGGGGGAGGGTCCAACACCCCGTCCAACACCAGCTGGTCCAATGACAGGAGTCAGTGTCTGAAAACAAAGGAGGAGATGTGAGGAGTGACCCAGAACAGAGGCTTTGCAATATGTT